AACCGTGATGTACTCCACACCAATCATCAGCTCTTAAAGCTGCGGTAGGGGAAACTTTCTACAGTGCAGTAATTCTTACAGCTCTACATCGGTACAAGCCACTGAAACAGAGGGGTTCCCAACCCCTGGTCCGGGGACCGCTGCAGTACAAGGCTAGTGTCTGGGCTGGGCATCTTTCTGAATGAAAACTCAGACGTCTGCGTCTCTTAGGCTTGGTCTTTGTACCAGATGTGGATTGTGTGACGAGCATTCAGAAGATACGAGATCAAGGCAGGACACGTGAGTGTGTGAGGGGGAGGGAGGGGGGAGAGAGGGGGGGTTCGAAACAGGATTAAAGTCAGAGATAAAACGGGTGAGACGTGAACGTGGGTAGGCAGGAGCAGGTAGGAGATGGAAAGATGAACGGAGGACAGATGTGGAGCAGCAGAGAAGATGACGGCACAGGAGACGCAGCACAGAGGAAGGAAGAAGATGAGGGAGGAGGGGAGAAGGAGAGAGAGAGGGAGGGAGGGAGAGAGAGAGGAGGCGAGGTCATCACCTATCTGTCCGTGAGCTATTTATTAACTATTCATTAGCAACTTTACACCTTCAGTCTGTCTGACTTCCTGTTTGTCCGTCTTGTGTATCTGACTCTCACTTTGTGTTGCACATGTGTGTCTGTGTGTGTGTGTGTGTGTGTTTGCAAACAGTTCTAATTTTCTGTTGAATCTCAGGACAGTTTTTTTTTTACTGTAGACCTAAATAGATCTCACTGCAGCCAACACACCAGTGGCACACAAAGTCAGGTCAGAATGTGTGTGTGTGTGTGTGTTAACAGACACACACACACACTCACACACACACACAGGGTTGCCCTGGGCACGGTGTCACTACTGCAGAGGTTAGCCTGTTGTGTCTGCCGTCATACGACTGACACACACACACTTACACACACACACACACACTTTCCTAAACCCGTATCTTCTTCCCTCCTGCTCTACAGTATCAACCGTCCCCACTGTGTCACTATCTCTCTCTCTCTTTATCTCTCCTTTTCTTTCCCTCTCTCTCTCTCTCCCCTGCTCTCTCCCTGGTTTCCATGGTGACAGCTGTGCGCTGCAGAAATCACACTGATCAGAGAATCAGAGATGCTGCTCTCTCTTATACATAAACACACACATGCACGGCTCTTCCTCTCTCTCTCTGTGTGTGTGTGTCTCTCTCTCACATGTCCAGACTCCCGTATCCATCAGTCTGTCTCTAATGGGTTTGCCTTCAATATCATCCCTTGTTATTGGATCATGCTTATTCACAAATTAGATCAGTTTATTGAACCAAGGAGGGGTGAGGGTGAGGGGGAGAGAGCGAGAGAGAGAGAGAGAGAGAGAAGAGCAGGGAAGGACCATGAGCTGACCTTGAATGAAGGACCCCTTGATGGACGGCTTATGAGCGCTGTAGTCACGTGTGATTGGCCAATGGAGCAGGATAGTCACAGACTATTGGCTACACACTGCTGTCTACCTACAAACACACACACACACACACACAGACACACACACACACAGACCTACCCCACTTCACCCCAGCCCAGCCTGCTGTGCTCTCACTGAGGAATTCTCCATCACTCAGTGATACAGAAGGCCTGGATCAGCAAATTACACTGCACTCCCTCCCTCTCTTCCTCCCTCCCTCTCTCTATCTCACACACAGTCACTTGCACGTGCTCCAACACGCACACACACAGAACCTCGTACGCCCGTCAGTGCAGTCGGGAACATCTGTGTTCAGCTGCAGAACCAGACCTTTGTGTTGGTTCTGTGTGGGACGTGTGAATGTGTTCTGATTGTGTTCATGGACTTCATGTAAAACAGAAGCTCTCTCTCCCCCTCTCTCTCTACCTCTCTCTCTCACAGCTTGTATCTGGAATACTTTTTTAACGTATTTCTCTTTTTTAGAAGATTAAATTTAAAAAAAACAAACTAAATCCAGTCCAAAAGACAACGTTTTAAATCATGTTAATTTTCCGTCAGTGTTTCTTGGTATTTTGTGTTTCCTCCAAAAATAGACAAGACGAGATCTTGCAGGAGGATTGAATGGAACCCTGAGGATTTGTGAGCTGAGTTGGACGTTCTCCAGTTTGTCAGCTGCTGCTTTTCACAGGTGGAGCAGAACAAGTTTGGTTGTTGTTGGTTGTTGCTTTAACCAAACTTTAACTGGCAAAATCAAAGTCAAAGAAAAGCAAAAATGGACAAATATTTAAATGTATTTTTCCGATTCAGAAAAGTTGTTTAGATATTTAAGAATACTTGGCCTCAGGGAGTTTTAATGATGGAGTCGTGGGCTGTGATGTCAAGCTGTGGTTTTCTACGTAGTCTTCTTCTTCTTCTTCTTCTTCTTCTTCTTCTTCTTCTTCTTCTTCTTCTTCTTCTTCCTGTTGCGAAAGCTTTAACGATTCAAACAGGTTTTCATTCAAATCAAGTCATTCGGTCCGATTTTTAAATTCTTCAACTATACGGTCATTTAAGTCATTACAGTTTTTATGGACGTCCGATATTAACTTTTTGATGATTCCCGATATTCCGATGTTGTCCAAACACTTAGTTTCCGATTCCGATATCAACTGATGCCGATATAGGCCTGGTTATATTTATTTATTTATCAGCACAAACCACTGTATGAGTATGATATTAATTAAATGAGCTGCAATGCTGCCATCTAGTGACTATCACTTCAACATACAACCGTTTATCCCCGCACACATCATTTGGCGAAACCCAGCCATTGCGTTATCGGGTTTTCAGTATCGGAGGAAAAACCGATAACGCTTCTTACAGATATTACATAATATGCTAATATCGATCGGCCGATATTATCGGACACCCGTACTGTTTTTAAAATTAATTCTGACTCGGGTAACTCAGCAGCAAACACCGTGCGTGAAGTAGGACGAGTTCGCTGATGCCATTATTGACGTCATAAATCTGCTCAATCATACTGTGACCTTATCCCCATGGCTTTTACTGTGACCTTTGGTCTGACGATAAAAATGTCAGAGAGCATCGCGAACACCACGGCTTTACAACCAGCTGGGCTCAGAGCCAACTGGGATATGGACCCGGCACAGAGCTTACATTGGTTGGTAGAACATGTCTGTATGTGACCCACACTGGTGACCCACACTGGTGACCCACCGTCCCAACACCCATATTAACTCTATACCAAGACTAGTCTCTTGTCTTAACTTTATTAAAACAAGACAGAAAGAAAAAACGGTCAAAGTAATTATTCTATTTCAGTCTCTCTGAATAAAATATTCATTTTCTTTGTCAGAACAGTTTTACACTAATTAAATTTTAACATTTAGTGAAATTACTGAGAGCAAAAAAAAAAAGTTTCTTTGAATAAGAGTTTCTACAGTGGACTATATATATTCATATATATGTATATATGTATATATGAATATATATATTTATAAAAATATTTTATATATACATACACGTATATATGTATATATACAAATATACACACATATATAGATATATTTTACATACTGTGTATACACATATATTCATATATATGTATAGATGAATAGTTTTACTGCCATTAATAGTTTTTTTAAATTTATTTTTAATTTTTTTTATATTCCCAGAGGTGTGGCTGGACTGGAGGGCGGGGACCTCGTCTGGCCCAGGTCTGCCTCTGTGTGAACTGCTGTTAGTTTGTAAACCAACCTTTAACTACAGGTCATGTTAGTTTAACCTGAGATTGACCTTTGACCTTTGACATTAACTTTTTTTTTTCCCCCATTGCTGACATTTTTTTTTCAAACAAATTCCCGATCCAGATACTGTTGTTCTGTTTTGTTGATGTTGTTTGTTTGGCTGACGTTTGTTTGACTGTGGATTGTTCCTAATGTATTTACTGACTCTGACGCACTTTGTAACTTGCTTTGGAAACACACGCCACAAACAGAGATTATTATTCTCAGGCAGTATTTTGTCATTCGTAGTATAAATGTCAAATCTGTACGTTTAGGCTACTGTCGCCCCTCCCTCAGTGAAATCTAATCTTTTTTTTTCTTTTTTTTTCTCTCCACACACGGTACTCTTTTATTAGATTACAGTTCCGGTGACTTCTTTCAGTTGTGCCTGCAAAAAATATCCACAGCACGAGGCAGGAGGGAACACAACACAGTTTGAGTCTTTATCATATTCTGCTGCTCAGTAACTGAGCCACATCTTAAACATGAGTTGTGCTTTGG